AAGAACAAAAAGAACCTATACCATATTCACATATTAGATTGGAAATTGATATTTCCAAAAAACATATTGCAATAATTTTACATACATTGATGTGAAATAACCATAAAGCTAAAGATAAAGATACGGGCTATATAATTATATATAATTTTATATTTAGACTTTGGAGATGTCATGATTTCTCATCTTTTAGTGAGGTCGATTATGCATCCTCTTTTTAATCCATCTTGTCAACTTTATTGCCCATCTTGACACTTGCATATGTTCATCCTTTAACCTACAACATTGTATTAACTTCTAGCACAACATGATAGCCACCTATATGCTTTTGCATCAATTCTAAGCATAATTAAGCCCATCGAGATTTCGCGATTTAGCTCTCACGAAACTATAATGATCACAATTAACGAAAATTAATTAGTAATCATAATATTAATTCATATGAATTTTATATGGATTATCATCATGAACTTGTATAAAAGGTGAACCGACACACTCATTTTCATGGTTTTATCATGAAATGCAATGACCCTTTTCCCTAACTAGAAAGTACCAAGTTCGAGCATATTTTACCAATTTGGAGCAAAAGAACAGCTCAAAGCAAAAACCCAACAAAAAATAAACATGATTAGACTTAATATACGATTCATCATGCGATTAAATGACATTTAAATTTGAAAAGATATCTACAAAAGTAGGTCATGGACCAAAGACCAAGGAATAGTTATATCCAATTATATTATATATATATATATATATATGTGCGTGTGTGTGTAATAGTGGCGTTTGAGAGAAAATCCCGACACCGGTAAATGGATCAGCGATCTCCACGATCGTCATAGCAACTAATGTCTCTATGTATTTTCATTGAAATTTCAGGTCAAACTCAACACTAAGGCAGATGGAGATTTTTTTTTTTCTCGTGTTCAAACAATTGTATATATAGATTGAAAAATATGCATATATATATATATATATATAAAGCATTGTGAAAAGACTGAAGCAATAATTTCCTCCGACATTTTATCTATGTTGAACTATTTACTCCTCCAACGGATAATGATAGAACAGTGTTCGATAAAGACACATAGACCAATAAGACCATATGAAAATGCATGCATGATTCCCTCACGGGAATTTTGTCTTCCAAAAGATGTAAAGACAATAAAAAAAAAAGTTATTAATTGTAAATTGTCAAAGCTTCTTTCAATCGCAAAAAAGTTGCCCTAATTTAATGGATCTCTTTTATTAGTTGTCTCTCTAATATATTATATGATATACATATAATTTTTCCGCCACCCAAAATGCATATCACTTAACCAAGAAAGATACGCGCGCGCACATACATACATACATACATACATACATACATACATACATACATACATACATACATACATACATACATATTGAGATTCCAAAATAGATAGGTTTGATGGTGCAATTGCATCCATATCATCTCAACGTAATATCTTATTAAGTTGATAAATCTGCTTTATATATCAGTTTACTTTAGATTCTATTTTTTTTTAAAGATAGAATTCTAAAACAAATATCATATGCATGTGTTCCACATTCTCGGAAAGCTTGAACCGAAAAGAAAACGATGGAATCTCCTTGGATTTTGGACCAATTACGTTACGTGTTCCGTATACATGTTTACAAATGTACATACATATATAGATTTATATACATGAAGAATTTCACATGCAGTACTGTGCGTATATATATATATATGCACGTTTATACATTTATACACATGATAAATGATGAGAAAATAGTACATGACATACCCCATTAGATCAATGCCTTAGGAGAAAGTTAAAAAAAAAAAAAACTTTTCCTCTTTACGTTTCCGTGTGCCATATATATATATGTGTGTGTGTGTGTGTCGATATTGGAGTACAACAAATATAAACTCTTGGGACTTAATTGGACAGTCCAGACTCCAGAGTGGTTCCTTAATGTAATGACGTCCCCTCACTTTTGCTTAAACTAAAAAAAGGTTTAGAGATTATATTATACATATATAATATGTCTATATATATATATACACACACAATAATGCCTTATATGTGTGTGGAAAGAGAAAATCCGGAAAGCTCATGATTTATGTCACTGAATATAGATTTGACTTGCATTAAAAGATGAGAAATGAGATAAAAATACAATCTCCAAATCCCTTTTTGGACTGTCAAAGAGAAGCCATTTTCTTCAAGCAGTTTATTGAATATTCCTCTAACCAATCAACTTCGAGTCATTTCCACTTTCTTCACTTGTAAATTCCAAAATAACAAAGAGATTATATGGAACAAGTTTAATTAAATCATGGATAGATATTTTATGCGATGTTCCCTCTTTAAGTAACCCATGAGGTATCTTCAACAATTAAATTTAATTTAACCAAAAAAAAACAATTAAATTTAACCATCCACATGCACATTGCGACACCATGATTATTATTCTAAATCTTGTAACTAAGAATATTTCAAACTTTAACTAAAAAAAAATTCTTATAAAATTTGTTAACAACCCTCAAATTAATACACAAACTTTAATATTCATATTTTTTTTATAAAAAATCCAAAATAAAAATACAAAAATTTTACAAGGATTCTAAAAATTACACATCAAACAAGAAACAATAACATGCCATATAGTTTTTTTTTGGAATATTTGTAAAAAAGCTAAGAGTTTGAGAAATTTTGTTTGTTTGTTTGTTTTTTAATTTTAAAAATCGCGTGTATTAATATAGGAGTTAATAATAATTTTGTATATATATATATATATATATATATATATATTATTTTAAAGATAAAATCATATATAAATACCTAAATTTTTACAAAATTCTCAAATTAATACTTTAATTTTTTAAAACTTCCACATAAATATCTAAACTTTTAAAAAATTACCAAATAAAACCAAATCTATTAACGACGTTAAACTTATAACAGAATCCGTCGATAATTGATAACTTGGCGTCAACGGATATTGTTTCATTTGGAAAAATTTAAAAAATTTTGGTATTCATTTGAAAGTTTTGAAAGTTCAGATATTTATTTGAAAATTTTATAATTCAGATATATAAATTTTGTAAAAATTCAGATATTTACATGCGATTTTCCCTTTTAAAAAAAGATTATGACCTATATTTGGATAACTTCGATGACAATTACATGCATGGACGAGCTCTAAGAATTAGTGTAAGGATTTGACACACACATGTATATGTATATATATGCATACACATGTAGCTAATTTTGAGAAGAGTTAATTCGATCACTAGAAGTTATTCAGTTATATGTGTCACAATGGAGGAATTAGCAAAAATATGTCCCAATTTACATATTTAGTTCTCATATATAATTTTTTCTTTGTAGTTTTTGAAAGGGAGGACCAACTATATGTATATCAATACGGCAAACTGAAATTTATGTATATATTGTATATTGATTAAAAAAAACTTAACATGAACCATCTATCGCGCGCGTATCAATCATATATGCAAAAAAACTTCGCTTATATTTGATGTGGAATTATATATAATGGGTTTTAAAATCGCTCCAAATTCATCACACAACGACATACATACATATATATATATATAAGATATCAATTATGAACTCGTACGGCCGGCCTCTGCTTCAACATATGGCAGAGATCAAAGGAAACTTGAACACCAGAACCAAAGAGAAGATTACAAAAACGAAAAGTCAACGGTCAAAGATTTGCATGACTGTCGGCATACTCCATGGCCTTCCGTATGATTGCACGACAAAAACTCTCGTGATAGAGAGTACGGTTTCATTATTATACAAGAATGAAATTTATGAACTTCCGGGGAGAAAAAAAAACCCATCATCTTGATATATTACAGATGCCACGTGGAGTGTCTCTTTGGTGCACCCTCACCCAGCTGATTTCCACTCTTGCGGTGGATAGCTCCACGTGGCACCTCGGGGGCGTTCCGTGTCAAAGCCAATATTCTTAAAATAAAATGATTAATTTTCACATTATTCCCTAATAGTCCGTTTTTATTTATTTAATTCAACAAATAGCTGAAGCTTCGGGGGCAAACGTATGGCCGGTTATTTACTCATTTGTCCGGTTTAAGTATTTTCGTGTGTATATATATATATAGTAACAGTTGTGGATGTTTTTTCCATTACATGCAACACTAACATTTTTTACATCGAATTTCGCGTTTGATGTGAAATAAAATAAAATAATTTATAATTTGATCCGAAAATAAGAATTAAAAACCGAACAAAACGTTGTTGTTTTTTTTTTCCATGGGAGGCATGGAAACAATCGCATGAAAATAAACTACGTGAAGGCACCAAATTACAAACCCGTACACGTGTCAACCTATCAAGTATGGAGTCCAGCTGTCTGGTCGCTCTTCTCGCTTGTAGACTTCCGCAAGAAACCTCGATTTCTCGTTCCTTATTTTTACCATCTCGCGCGATACATTGACCTTGCGAGAAGCTCCAATGAACGCCGTTTTTGTGGTTAACCGGTAAATGAAAGGACACCCGTTTGATTATTTAAAGTTACCGCCGAATTACCGGTTATTGCCGGTATAAAGGATCTGGTCAACCTGGGCAAACCCCCGGTTTGTATTAATATCCAACAATGTGATATACCGAAATGATTATAACACAAACTTCAATTTGGACTGCTTTAAGTTATTATATCAAGAGAAATAAGATTTTACATCCAATTTTCCTTACGAAGTTAAATGCAGTTTTTGCATGTCCTGATAAAAAGGCGGTACGGGTTTGACCGTTACGGGGAAATACGTTAGCATTTGGATTCCAAAACCTCGACGGTCCAATAAACATGAATATTAGTAGGTGTATTATGTATACACTTTAATTTATGGATTAAAGTTAAACTTTGCCGCAATTAGAATATTTACCTCTATGCCCTTCATCCTCGTCCACCCTCTCTATATATTGACCTCCCTCTCTTTCTTCTTCACACCCAACAAGCTCTAATCAGAAACATATCTACTCTTCTTCTTCCTCCTCCTAATCTCTCTCTCTCTCTATATATTTCTCTGGGTCTCATTTTCGATCTTAGATACAGAAACCCAGATAGAATCATCATGCCAGAGGCGCCAAAGGACGTAGCTTTCGAGGTGAAGGACCAGGGCCTGGCGGAGAAGAACAAGAAGAAGCTTCAGTTCATCGAGGATGTGACCATGAAGGCAGAGGAGGTGCAGAGGCGCGTTCTGGAGGAGATCCTGAAACGAAATGCGAAAGTGGAGTACCTCAAACGACATGGCCTCGACGGTCGTTCCGACCGGGAAAGCTTCAAACGAGTCATGCCTGTCATAACCTACGAGGATATTCAGCCTGACATCAACAGGATCGCTAATGGCGACAATTTCCCTATCCTCTGTTCTAAGCCCATCTCCGAGTTCCTCACAAGGTGAGTCCTTTTTCTGTCTTCTCCTTTCAATCTGTCGCATGATTCTGGGTGTCTTTGTACAACTCTCATCTCTCTATGTCTTTGTTTTTCGCTCGTAATAATTGTTAAATCACTCTAAATCAGGGTTTAAATTTTTGAATCATTGGAGCTTCAGTGGTATCTTGTTCCGGTTTTCGATATATCAGCAATCAAAAGGTTTTTGACTTTTCATCAGTTTCTGAGTCTTGGCACCAAAAGATCTAAACTTTGCTTCTGGGTATCGCTTATTTTTCAAAACTCTTGATGATTATACTCATATGGGTATTTTTTTCCCTTGTGAAATCGTTACACAGCTCGGGGACTTCAGGTGGGGAGAGGAAGCTGATGCCTACGATCGAAGAGGAACTAGACAGAAGATCCCTTCTCTACAGCCTCTTGATGCCTGTGATGAGCCAGTTCGTGCCCGGACTGGACAAAGGCAAAGGAATGTACTTCTTGTTCATCAAATCCGAGGCCAAAACCCCATCTGGTCTCCTTGCTCGTCCGGTCCTAACCAGCTACTACAAATCTTCCCACTTCAAAGAACGACCCTTTGATCCTTACACCAACTACACCAGCCCCAACGAGACAATCCTTTGTCCCGACTCTTACCAGAGCATGTACTCTCAGATGCTCTGTGGTCTGTGCCAACGCATGGAGGTTCTTCGTGTCGGCGCTGTTTTCGCCTCTGGATTCATCAGGGCCATCAAGTTTCTCGAGAAACACTGGCCTGAGCTGGCCTGTGACATTAGAACTGGCATACTCAGTGCCCAGATAACCGATCCTTCCGTTCGTGGGGCAGTCGATAAGATACTCAAACCCGACCCGAAACTCGCTGATTTCATCGAGAACGAATGTGGGAAAGAG